GTGAAGGATAGAGTCAGAAACCGAGACTGGAGAGAGGCCAATAAGGATTCTAGTTTAAAAATTCAAGTGTAAAACTAAGGCCTAAAGTAGTACAGTCACAATCCAAACTGAATGGGGAAATGGAAACCGATTCCAAATTTGTAGGACTGAGTAAACTGAATTGGGGGTGGAGGGAGTAAGAAACGCTTCCATTTATTAATGGCCTGATCTAATATTGAGAAATACAATAATATACCATGGTATTAAATGTGATTTTCATGGTTGATTCAGCTCCAAAGGCTAAGAATAATATAATTGATGCCAAGAAGTTCAATGCCTTTAAAACACAAGGTCAGAGGCCCCCAAGGAAGCATATCCCCAAAGCCGTAAAACTGGTTCAGCCAGCATGGGTCCATTATTGAGGTTAGAAGACATGTAAAAAAAAATTTTTTTTGAAGAGCTAGAAAAAGGTGTAATGTGATTTTTTGTTGAACATTCTAGTTATGCTCTCAGAACTCCCCGACTCGAACCCCATCCCGAGTCATACACACACAATGCATTCATAGTACTCATCCCCACTTCCACTCTTTCACCCCTGGCACAAATGAAGCGTGTTTAAGGGAGCCATCTGGAGAACTCTGTGTGTTGTTGCAAGAGTCTGAGAGGTAAAGGGACTGGGACCTGATTCAGCTGAAGGCCAAGAGGTATGTGGCTAATGAGATGGTGTGATGAGAGGTGATGTGTGGGTCTTTGTGTGAAGAGGAAGGTCCTCAATGAAGTGGGTTGACACAGTGCCACAGCAAGGGACTCAGGCATGGGAGCAATCCTGAGGATGGCACAGGCCTGGTCTCTTTTGTATAGGGTCACTATGGGTTGGAACCAATGCTATGGTACCTAACTACAACAACAAGGACGCCTAACACTGGATGAGCCTCCATTAATATCCTTGCATTAATATTCTAAACTTCCCCACATCTGATAAGAATTTCTAACTAAATCAGTCAACATTAAATCGGAAACGCTTCAGGGGACTTCAGAGCAGTATCCTGCTCTACCCACTTCCTAATTCATGCTGTACCTTTCTCTTGAACATCTACTACTAAGTGAACATTGGAAATACAAAGAAAGAGAGCAAGTAATAATTCCTGCAGTTACAGAGTTTTATTGTGAT